GATTTGTATTTGTTACAAAATGCGATTTTTTAAGTTGGCTAAACAACGTGGAAAAATCCAAAACAGGCAAATCTGAAAGCTTTATCAAAATGTTCAATTGGCGTACGATTGGTCAATTGATCTTTCAAACACTTCAAATCCACCTTGGTGTTGGCACTTTAATACATGTTATTCTCTTGACGTGTTTTTGCGGTTCATGGATTTAGTTGAGTTTAACTTAGCTTAACTTAATGGGTTTGAAAATGGGTCCATGTACCCGAAACTAGTCACCACAGCCTAATTAAAAGTCTGAAGACGGTTAAATCGCACGTAACCTATCGTATTATTATTATTTAGTCCTATAAGCACGAAGTAAACATGACATTTTCCTATTTCTGTAACGTGTAAAACAATGGAACAATGAATTTTGCCCCTTGAAAATTGTTTAAAATGATGCAGGAAACATTTTAATATAATTTTAAGAAATTATTTTCTACAAAGTTAAATATATAATTAACATTACTGTATATTCAAAGCTTCATTCAGACATTACAGACACGAACTGTTTAGAAAAAGTATTGAACAGCTTTTCACGTAGAGGGATTTTCACTACAAAACCAGATTGTCCAAAGAAAACATTTAGTTATCTAAACGTGAACACATGCGGTGGTTCCGTGCCACTCGGTCACGGTACAGTATTATCGCACGCTATAGTCTGTATGATGGAACCTGTCTCTCCACCATTCATCAGCTGGAGCTTGCCTAGCCCGAAACCATTGTCCAGTCTTCAGATAAAGGGAGGGTAGAGAAGACAGGTTCCATCACTCAGACTATAGTGGAGAAGAAAGACCTGGGACTAGTCAGGGCCTAATATGTTTGGCCAGCCCCAGGTAGAGGGAGGGCCAGGAGACAGGTTCCATCACTCAGACTATAGTGGAGAAGAAAGACCTAGGAAAAGTCAGTGCCTAGTCTGTTTGGCCAGCCCCAGGTAGACGGAGGGCCAGGAGACAGGTTCCATCACTCAGACTATAGTGGAGAAGAAAGACCTAGGAAACGTCAGTGCCTAGTCTGTTTGTCCAGTCCCAGGTAGAGGGAGGGCCAGGAGACAGGTTCCATCACTCAGACTATAGTGGAGAAGAAAGACCTAGGAAAAGTCAGTGCCTAGTCTGTTTGGCCAGCCCCAGGTAGACGGAGGGCCAGGAGACTGGTTCCATCACTCAGACTATAGTGGAGAAGAAAGACCTAGGACTAGTCAGGGCCTCTGTGAGACAGGTTCCATCACTCAGACTATAGTCATCGATGAACGCTATGATTTGAACGTCCATGACAGAGCTATTGAACACTAGCTATTAGTCTATCTGTGGCATACAAGAGGTTCGCCGCATTTTTATTACGGGCCTCCTGAACTGTGTGCCGTGGCAAGTTTTGTTCAAATAACCTGTAAGTTAATTACCCTAACCGCACGTTCCAACTGCATGTGGAGGATCCTTAAGGAAACGTGACCGAAGGGGAAGAGAGCCGAGAAGTGGAGGGAATTAGGAAACAGTTGGGAACCAGCAAACTTGAGAACTGAATATTTGTTCATACAGGGAATAAGCTGTTACCGTAGGTCTCATGGTAAGACCTTTTTTTCGTCCTAGGACGCTAGGCACGAGCCTGGGATTGTTTTTCACATTACTTCAGGCTAGACATAGGGGTTGCGGCATTATCACTTAGATAAAATCCATTGGTGATTTGGCGGGATTTGAACGCGGGACCTTTTGGACCGAAGTCCCCGAACCAAGACCGATTTAACTTCCTTCGATGTCCTCAGAGGCTAAAAACACCATCCGCTAAAATTCATATATGACGCAACTTTTAAGATATTCAAATACAAATTATCTTTACATGTGTTCATAAAATTATCCATTTGAAATTGAAATAGCCCATTTCGCAACAACAACATATTTTGTAACAACTATTTTCAACAAACAGCCCATTGATATGTTATAGCATATACCAAATGCCATAACAATCTAGAAAACGCTCAAAATTTAATTATTTAAAATAAGGACAAAGACTTACAAATATTGTTGATATCTTGACGATTTTGAAAAATTGATTTACATTTTTTTTATTTTGACCCATAAAACTATTGCATCATTTATTTATACCTACTTACATCACACCCTGTATGAAGGTAAAGTGGTGAAGGGAAATTTACTCTACCGTGTAATACGGTCTTAACTTAAAAATGTTCTCTTTAAAATTTTGGAAGAAGTTTTTAAAATTTAAAGATTTGACCAATAAATTTATACACAGTCGGACTTCAAACCGTCTACGCCTGCAGCAAACAGAACGCAATATAGACTCTGTGTCAAGATTGCCTAGGTACGCCTTCATCACAACATGATGTACACAATAAAATTAAAGAACAAACAGATTATAATGGTGCTGATGAATAAACAAAGTCAGCATATGGTTTCAAATACAATTTTTCACTAACCAAGTGGCAAAATTCATTATAGATCCCGACATTTTTATAAGCTTATCATATGAGAAGACAACGAAGTATTAAACATTTAGATTGATGAGTTGATAGTATTTACAACGTTTTCTTTGACACAAAAAATTCAAATAAAAATGTAAAATGAAGTAAATTTTTTGTTCAATTGTTGAGTCATAATTATTGATAGTTTATTATTGTTTGACGAGCACATTACAACAAGCTAAAAAACTGTTGCGTAGTGAATTGAAAATGGCAGTGACAATAATTAATTAACTTTAGTTAATTACTAAATCGAAGGTCCGTCCGAGGCCGGGAACCATAGAGGGCTTATGAACACCTTTGACACGAGTATAAAATATTATGGGCCACACTAACTAATATATCTTACCTACTAATTTATTTTTTCAATCAGTTTTAATAGTAAATAGTAAATGTTTATGAATTTCGCGATTGAATATCACTTGCACAAACTGTGAACTTAATACATTCTCCCCACACCAAAATTAACATCCTGACGAATTAGTATGTGTAATACTTCTAAAGTTTATGTAATTAATATCATAATTGGTCTTTTCCTGTTTAATCAGATCTTTTGTGTAGATTATTTGACATATTACATACACACAACTTTTTCTAACCGATACATGGTGCAAAGGTCATTCGCTTTCAAGGACAGTCTTAAGATCCCTTTCCTCTTTCCCCCCTCCACTTCAAAACTTTTCTCGGCCATTCCCACCCCAGTCACGTATCGGGGGATGTTCTCCCTTTCTTTCACCGATCATCATCATTCTTGCGGATTTATTTCTCAAATAACCCGACAATCACCTGCTCTTGTAGGATTTTCACTTTAGGTTCGATAAAATATGCAGATTACCTTAAGGGTAAAGTTTTGTTTTAAAATTGAAAGTCACACGACTGAAGTTAACGTTATTTAACCATGTAGCCAAATAACAAGATGATTCATAGTCTGCATCAATGTATTCATTTATTTCCATTGAATAAGTAACGCTACCAAGGACCGTAACGGGAATTTCCAGAGACAAAATATCAGGTGGGGAAATTAATTGTGCTTAAAAAATTAAGTGCGTTTGCATGCAGGTAGATCGAAAAAGTTTGCTGTACGTATTATTTTATAGGTTTGTATCATAGCCACCGTCTTGCAGTGACTTTTAAAAAAGAGAGTGATCCAAAACTACCAGGATAATCACCGTAGGATCTCCAAAATACGACAAATTAAAAAAAAACCATCAAAGATAAAAAGTACATTAATAACAAGCATTACAAAAATATAAGTAATGATCGCTAAAAATTTACTGGACATTTCGACAGGTATACGAAAGGTATTCGACAAGTGAACAAAAGGGGGTGGTGAAGCTAAAGAGAACAGCCAGGGGGATCGCTCGAACGTGACCAGCGAGTTGAGTCTCTGGGGATATTGTCTGGGAGTTTCCCTCCCTTTCCCCCCTTCCCCCCACACCACGTGACACCTGACAGATCTGTGTAGTTATGCAGATTGTTGTACGTTTGTACCGTGATTATTGCAGATCTGTTAGCTATGGTATTTCATGTTGTTTTCAAAATGTGAAACGTTGTTAGCTTTAGGAAAATTAATTAAAATTGAAAATAATATGAAATGATGGAAAAATTTTAATATTTTTACTCTCGATTTACACTCAATAAGACTATAATGATACTAAAAGTAACCAGCTATGTTAGGATCATAAAAAATATTAATTCAATGTTGACTATAACATTATTTACCCAAGCTATTAGATTCAATCTTACATTTAACCATGTTATCTATTTTTACCACCTAAGGTATGTTAACGTTTTAAATTGTATGTAATAAATAAAACATGCATTTTTACTATAAAAAATTTGAGTAAATTCCCCCTAAAGAAAAGCTATTACTGTATGTATCACGACCTAGAACCGGGACCGAAACACTGTTTCATTTTTATGTCCTCAGAGTCCAAAACACGAGTCGATCGGATTGTTAATACATGTATGTGTAGGTGAACACGAATGATTGAGTAGTTATGATCCCATTTTGATCAAATCTTTCATGAATGCGTACGACAGGATAAACTTGAATAATTTACAAACCAGCAAGATCGGGTCATAGGAACAGAGAGTAATGGGGTTTAAAAATTAAAATTTGCTTTTTTCAAATTTTAATGCTTAAAACATATAAACGCATAAATTTACTTCATGATTTTATTGTATTTATATGGGTACATATAATTGTGGTTTAAGGTTTTACAGTGTAGGCCCACGTCCAGAATACCTAGAATAAAATACGTTTCTTCAGTGGAGGTAAAACATCTGTTTTCAACTCATGAACGACGTGCTAAAATGGATTCGTAGAATTGTTCAAATCAAACAAGCACAATTCAAAACGATCACCACTCATATATCTACGAACAAACTCAAACTGTAGCAAGTGTAGTTACATAGGTGTGCGCTAGGTGGGGTGGCGTCCACACCTGCGCCAGGCGTGAGGCGCGCGACGCGACGCCCAGTCTGTGATAGTCCGGCGTCGCGTCGCGTACCTGTCGTGACGTCATCGCGTCGCTCGCGTCGTGTGGTCACGTGGTCGAGTAGTATCAATGTCATAGTGAACTGTCCATCTGGTATGTTTGAATAATGGGGTTTCGATGAATAAATTTATGAAAAAAAAACATATGGGAAATTATGTTAAAAATTATTTTTTTGTAGTCAAATTGACGGTGGAGGAAATAAAATTAAACATACTTTGCTTTATAAAACTAGAATAAATTGCAACAGATTTTTCCATTCACACATTTTTAAGTACGCCGATATATGGATAAATTAGTGGATACAATTATATAGGTTCAGTTTAGTAGTGAATTTATATAGTAATTTTATTGTAGTAAAACATACTGGTTTAGAAGTTCAAATAATGAGGGGAAAAGTAATTAAATGTTGGAATACGTCTTAAGGACCATATAGTAGAACATTTTCTCTACTGTTTAGAATATTTAAGTTGGATTAAAAATGGTTTGCAATTTTTCATTCATTTAATTAAACTTACTTATATATTTATATTGTTTACTGTCGTGTACCTATCTAAACCGATTTGAACTGTGCAATGGTTATAATACAATAAATCACAAAACTAAAACATGTTTATTCATTTAAGTAGGGGTTTTGTTTCCGTTTGTTGAACAAATAAGATATACAAAGTATGATCTCTACTTTCCCATCGTTATATCAATTATTTAAAATGGGGACGCCACTATGTGCGTATTTTAACCCAAATATGAGTGAAGAATGAGTGTAGAATGATTGTTGAGTTATTGTTATTTCAATCGTTTTTAAGCTTTGTTGTCTTCAATTAATTTCGAAATACTCCCTCAACAGTTTGAAGTAAAAACAGTTCCAATGATGACAGCGAGTGAATTATTCCGTTGGTGGTAAAAAGACTCAAAAATGACGTCATCAAAGACTAAAGTTCGGATACAAACCGGATGATGACGTCAGTTTCCGGAAGTGATCACGATAATCGGATGTGGATCATACATACCGGATGTGGTTACCGTCACCGTATGTGGATGATTTTGGTGCTTATTCTCCTTCTGGATTCGGTAAAAGGTCAGTATACTTTTTGATACTCCTATTGAACAAAACACTCTAATGGTTAAGTTATTATTTGATAAGTTATGGAAAAACTTATTAAATAATAAATTAGCTTGAAAATTGACTTGACTGGTAAAAGGTTATACAAGTAAAAAATAATCAAGCCAATTTAAACAACAGAATGATGCTATGGAGCTTCAAAACGCAGACTAGTTAATGATAAATAATAACATTTTATCGTTAAGTTATCGATGTCTACTCTTATATTTGTGTATTATCTTAGAAAGTCTGAAACTGACATGTTATGTTAAAGGAACACACATACATAGTTTTAATTACATTTAAGTAAATTAAAAATGGTCATATAAGAAAACAATCATCAAAATACCAACGAGTTCAAAACATTGCTCTATACAAACACAATACTTACAATAAACACTGAGACATTACTTATAATGAAATAAGTTCCCTGATTATTATATGGGCTTTTTCTTAAATGATAACAAACCCATTCAGTTATAAGGTAATTCAATAATGTAAGTCATGTTTATTATTTTTGGTACTTGTTCTTTTTAACTACTATTACAAGATGTTTAATTCGTCTATGGAAGGGAGATTAGAAAACGTATTAACAGATTATGGAGTAATACATGCTAATTTTTGTTAATTGTACTTGATTTTAATTAAAAGTAACATTGCGTAAATTTGTTTTGGATATATTCTAAAGAATTGCGAGAACCTTCTTACTTGTAAAGGAAAATCCACTTTCAATATTTAAAGAAACGAAAATTGATGTTTTAAATCAATTAAACGTGTATAAGGGAAACGTGTACGGACTTTCAGGGTAAATATTAATTAATTTGAGCATTAACAATATTATCATACTATTTATATAATTGTTCGCAATAAGAAAACTATGTTGAAGGCAACAATCCGATGAAAACATAAATTTAAAATGCATTTAAATTTAAACACTTTGGCATAACATAACAACTATATTTTGTGTACGTAATACGAATTAACAACGCACAAAGACACCTTTACATACATTGCAGTATTTATAATAAAAAACATCGTTTTATACAAACACAATACATACAATAAACACTGAGACGATATTACTTAAAATTAATTAGGTTCCCTGATTATTATATGGGCTTTTTCTTAAATGATAACAAACCCCTTCAGTTATAAGGTAATTCAATTTTGTAAGTCATATTTATTATCTTTGGTACTTGTTCTTTTTAACAACTATTACATGCTGTTTAATTCATCTGTGTAAGGGTAATTCATCTGTTAAAACACGTATTAACAGAGTATTGTACTTAGTTAACCGTACTTGGTTATAATTAAAAGTAACATTGCGTAAATTTGTTTTGGATATTATTCTAAAGAATTGCAAGAACCTTCTTACTTGTAAAGTGCAATTCGCTTTCAATACTAAAAATAAACTATACAAAATTAAGGGTTTGAATCAATTAAACGTGTATTAGGGAATTACAGTGTAAATATTAATTAATTTGTGCATAAACAATATTATCATACTTTTTATATTGAAATTGTTCTCAATTATAAAACTATGTTAAAGGCAGCTATCCGAAAAATAACAAATATATTTTGTGTACGTAATACAAATTAACAACGCACGAAGACACCTTTACATACATTGCAGTACCTATAATGAAAAACAATTTAAAAGGTTACCCTAAACATTGGCCAGCACATATCTCACTGCTGCAAACGCTTCTGGCCAGCGAGTGATAGAGAGTTTCAATTATGAGCTAAATGGCAAGTATTTACAGAACTCCCAAACAAGTGGTACAAAAAGCCCTGGTGGTGGACGTCTCTCATTAATTTCTCCATTGTTTAGTTCCAACAATAAATTGTTGTTGTTCAAAGGTTTATTGCGGACATTTTCCATCACGAATGTAAAAAAAACAATACACAACGTTTCGGGATCTGGAATCTGATCCCGTCTTCAGGTGAAAAAACTTAACTAACACATTACAACTAACAATACACAAACGCCCAACCTAAGTTGGAATACACTACCGAGGGTAGTAGTCAAAAAATATGCACTGTATAGCAGTCAAGTCATGATACAACATGCAATTAATAACAAATCACAAAACACTATAATCTATAAAAGGTTTACGTACAAAAAACTCACACAATGGAACACTAACAACACCGTACGTTTTTTTTCAAACGTAAACTCATTGAAGCCTCATACATTAAATTAGCAGACCAACCAATCAGTCAGTCATCGGTTGAAATAAGGCCATTTTGGCTACCCATTTTGAACAAGGAACTAAAGGATAGGGAACTTAATTGTTCAATAAATAGGGAAATAACGAGTTCTCCTCAAAATTCGCACGTTATGTTAACTCGTAGTAAAACTCGTGATATGAATAAACATAATTAACACCCATCTTGCGGCATCGTACATCGCTCCGCCATTTTGTTGGTTTTACTTTTCCAGGGACCGGAAGCCATTTCTGTTGTCTCCGTGTTTCCGATTGGTCAGCCATGTTGGTTCAGTCTCATTGGTGGAGTCATAGCGTACGGTGTTGTTAGTGTTCCATTGTGTGAGTTTTTTGTACGTAAACCTTTTATAGATTATAGTGTTTTGTGATTTGTTATTAATTGCATGTTGTATCATGACTTGACTGCTATACAGTGCATATTTTTTGACTACTACCCTCGGTAGTGTATTCCAACTTAGGTTGGGCGTTTGTGTATTGTTAGTTGTAATGTGTTAGTTAAGTTTTTTCACCTGAAGACGGGATCAGATTCCAGATCCCGAAACGTTGTGTATTGTTTTTTTTACATTCGTGATGGAAAATGTCCGCAATAAACCTTTGAACAACATTAACTCACCATCACCAACAATGAACTTCAAACAAAGAATAAATTGTTAACACACGCACACAAGAACACACACACACACACAAACACAGAGAAGCATACGATGGTGGTCTTTTATCTAGAGCTTCAGCGTTTGATCTGCAGTAAATGAGGTGGGACTGAACACTCTTAAGAAAATGTCCGAAAATAGTCACTTGTATTAATTCTGCAGTGATATCTCAGCCTTATAATGACTGACTGATGATGCAAGCCTGCTAATAAAAGGCCTTATTAGGCAAAACTTGAATTCTGTAAAAAATAGTTGTTTTTTTTTTCAATGATTATGGTGGTCATTTTTCATTACTGAAAGCAAATCGGTTAAAAGCTTTTCTGATCCGAATCTTTAGACGAAAAGAAACATAGAACATAACAAAATTACGATACAACATGTCTTCTATAATAACAGTAAATAAAAAAATAAAAAAAAACTGCTACTGGACAACAAATAATTTAAAACTAAGGATTTGGGATACCCACTAAAAATCTTTAACTGAATTTTGGCAATTTAATTTAAAAATTTACTTCGTTCGTTTTGTAAACAGTGAAAATAAATTAGAATACATTATGATTTTTCTTTATAGGTTTGACTAATAATTGACGTAAGTGATTCAAACAGTTGGATAAAAGTTGCATTCATCCCAAACTATTCCTACCAACAAGGAAGGATTCATAACTCACAGACTCGCCACGAAAGTTGTGAATGATACTGAAATTAAACCTTTCACGTTGTTTTCTCGTTTGGAATCCTCGTTTTGGACATATTGGACATTAAAACTCACAGAATCCACATCGTATGCACCGACGATGTTATTGCGTCAAAATGTAGCAAATTACAACATACAAACGACGAACAGTACGAACGACCGAGGGGACAGTTTTAATAAACGTTTACTGCAAAGGGAAATGTGGATTGGAATTTTTGGAACGGTTTTGCAGTTTTAATATAAAATGCACTTTATAACAGTATTTCCAATAAAAATATCGATTATGAGGAGGGTTGGGGTTGTGTTTTCGTTACTTTCATATTATATCGTCTTCACAATTTGTGTCTTAAAATCAACATTGAAGAACTAGCTTATGGGGAACCATACACACACCACATTTACCTTCAGATTCGTAGGAAAATTGTTGAAATTTCTTTGAACTGCGAACGAAACTATGAATATTTATATTTTTTAAATTGTGACATTTTTATCACATGAATTACTATAAATTACTAAATTATGCTATTTATATATATCAAGATTTGTTTAAGTCGTTAAAGCTTGGATGTATTTTTGAATATTTAAATTCGATCCGGCTCGAAGGACCATAAAAATTGTTAACAAGTAAGACTACGAATAACATAAAGGTACTTTTCTGTTAAAGGGAACATTCATTATTATCGATGATTTTCAATCGATATATCAATATTAACAAATTGAAACCTATCAGCTGACAACTACGATAAATAAATAGTGTTCAGTATAAAAAAAAATATTGAAATGAAACCGTTCCAAACCAACCTAACAAAACTAACCAAACTTGCTGTAACATTAAAAAATTCCGTTTAATATTCCCCACATGCCTTTTCTGTAATCAAAAGGAATTTTTAAAATAGTACAGCAAGTTTGGATGGTTGTGTTAGGTCAGCTTATAACAGTTTTAATCCATAATAGACTTGATTTTAGCCTAAACAAGATAGTTGTCAATTTGTAATGTATCGTAAAGGGAAAGAAAAATATCGATATATCGATTAAAAATCATCGAGAATAATAAATGTTCCCTTTAACAGGAAAGTACTAACTTAAATTCATATTTTATTTGTTTGGTGATTATTATTTTATTATCATTTATAATTTCAATAACACCTCATTCCATACAAATTGGTTTGATTCTCCACAATTGTATGTGAAAAAATTGTAGTCATTTCACAAAAATGCATAACAGTATTTTAGCTATAGTATTTTTGATTGATTAAAAGCAATTACTAAGACATAAGTCCATCCATACTCAATGGGGATGATGTAGAATCACCAACTACTTTAGAATACTTAAGAATTAGGGAAAACTATTGGTAGGGGATTATTTAACAACTACTTTGTCAGCCTTTCTAAAAAATTGTATTT